ATAGGAGTTTGAGAAAACAGAAATGAAAGCTATCCCCCCATCACTGAACAACACAATTAAAGAATAGGTAAAAAAAATAAATAAAGTAGGGGAGGTGCAAGAAAAACCTACACAAATGAAGAAACACCAAAGGCAGAATATGAGTCTCACACAGACCTCTGGGAGGTCAGTCACTGAAAATACAGACTCTGGAACTCAAACAATGAAGAACCCTCAGAATGACTGGTCTCCTGCCACAAACCCAGATATCAAGATATTAATAGAGAGAATAAATAGAAATGAGGAGAGACAAGAAGAAAGAATGAAAGAGTTGATAACTGGGATAACAGCAGTAAATAATGCTGTGAATGAAATAAGCAACAAACTGATAAGCATGGAAAGCAGAATTAACCAAGCTGAAGAAAGAATCTCAGAACTTGAGGAGAAAAATATAGAACTAACCCAAACTGTTAAAAACACAGAAAAGAAGCTTGAAAAGACAGAACAAAACCTCCAAGAGATGAGCAATTATTTCAAGAGGCCGAACCTAAGATTAATTGGAATCCCTGAGGCAGATAGAGAGACAGAGACCACCCTGGAACAAACATTCCATCAAGTTTTCTAAGAAAATTTGCCTTATCTCATCAGTGACACAACCATTCAAACACAAGAGATTCAGAGAACCCCTGCAAGACAGTAAATGAAAAGATCAACTCCCAGACACACAGTAAATCATCTACACAAAGTAGGTATAAAAGAAAAAATCCTAAAGGCAGTAAGAGAGAAAGGTCCGACTTCGTACCTTGGAAGACTAATTAGGATAGCAGTAGACTTATCTACAGAAACACTTTAGTCTAGGAGAGCTTGGGGCCCAATCTTCAAAGTTCTCAAAGATAAACAATTTCAACCAAGAATTACCTACCTAGCTAAGCTAAGTTTCATCAATGATGGAGAATTAAAATCCTTCCCAGACATTCAACCCTAAGAGTTTATGCTTCCTCCTGACCAACTCTACAAGAAACACTTAAGAAAATATTAAACACAGAAGAAAGGAAAAAGACCAACAACAATGCCCTTCACTAGAATGCAGGAAAAAGATTGAAGACACACATGAATCAACCAAAAAATCAAAAGAAAGACAACAAACAAACAGCAGCAGCAACAACAAACTATAAGAACCTCATGACAGGGATAAACTCTCACATCTCAATAATTAGCCTGAATGTGAATGGACTAAATTCACTACTGAAAAGACATAGAATGGCAAATTGGATAAAATATCATGAGGTTACAATACATCATCTCTAAGACACTCATCTCACCAGAAAGGACGCTCACAGATTCAGAGTAAGAGGATGGGAAACAAAATTTCAGGCGAACAGAACACAAAAGAAAGCAGGAGTCACGATCTTCATATCAGACAAAAAACCCTTTATGCCATCAAAAATTTAAAAAGATACGGAAGATCACTACATAATGATAAAAGGTTCAATCCATCAACAAGAAATATCCATCCTAGCCAGGCTCGGTGGCTCAGCCTGTAATCCCGTGCCTTTGGGAGGCTGAGATGAGTGGATTGCCTGAGCCGCAGGTTCGAGATCCACCTGGACAACTTGGCGAGACCTCATCTCTACAATAAATCAAAAAACCAGCTGGGCGTGGTAGCACGCGCCTATAGTTCCAGCTACTTGGAAGGCTGAGGCGGAAGGATTGCCGGAGCCCAGCAGGTCGAGGCTGCGGTGGCTGGGAGCAGCCACTGCACTCCAGTCTGGGCGACTGAGTGAGACTCCAACCAAAAAAATAAAAAAGAAATATCCATCCTAAACATATATGCACCCAACATAGGAGCACCAGCTTTCATAAAGCAGCTTCTAAGTAAACTAAAAAGATATTGACTCTGGTAACACTATCATAGCTGGGGACTTAAACATCCCACTAACAACCGTAGACAGATCATCAAAACAAAAAGTCAGCAAGGAGAGCCGGAATCTCAATGTGCTGCTTGACCAAATAGACTTAACTGATACCTACAGAATACCCAACAACCATGGAATTTACATTCTACTCATCACCATGTGGAACGTACTCTAAGATCGACCACATCCTTGCCCTTTATTTTTATTAACCTATATATATAGTTGATACTGAAAACAGCATGTTAATACTTAATGAAAGCTACAAATTAATGCATTTTCCCATTTAGATTCCAGAAATGTCTCACTTTTTCCCTTACATAAATGATATAGTAAGCATAATTTTCTTTCTTTGTTTTTACTTGCATTCTGTAGTAATATATACTTAGATGTAAATTGTCTTACAAGAGAAAGAATGTATTTGAAGGACTGTATTTGTGTTTTTGTTTTTGAGTCAGAATCTCTGACGCCCACGCTGAAATGCAGTGGTATGATCACAGCTTAACACAGCCTTGACCTCCTGGGCTCAGGCAATCCTTCCACCTCAGACTTCCAAGTAACTGGCACCAGGCATGCACCACCATGCCCAGCTAATTTTTTTGATTTTTGGTAGAGACAGGGTCTTGCTATGTTGCCCAGGCTGGACTTGAACTCCTGCCTTAGCCTCCCAAAGTGCTGGGATTATAGATGTGAGCCACCGTGCCTGGTTTGTATCTTTTTTTTCTTTTCTTTTTTTGAGTCAGAGCCTCACTCTGTCATCCGGGCTAGAGTGCAGTGGCACACCCATGGCCACTGCAGCCTTGACCTGCTGGGCTCAGGCAATCCTGCCTCAGCCTTCCAAGTAGCTGGAACTACAGGCATGTGCCATCATGCCCAGCTAATTTTTCTTGATTTATTGTACAGATGAGGTCTCACCAAGTTGCCCAGGCTGGTCTCGAACTCATGGGCTCAGGCAGTCCTCTCACCTCGGCCTCTCAAAATGCTGGGATTACAGGTATGAGCCATTGCACCTGGCTGTATCTTATTTTTCAACCTGTATTTTGGGACAATGAGTTTCTTTGTCTCAGTGAGGTTTCTTCTCTGGATTTCTAGATACAGATTTAGGCTGCTTTGCCTATAGGGACATGTGTCTTGGGTAGCTCCCAGGTTGCTTTGCTGGAGAGTGTGACAAAAGAAGGGAGAAGTTACACATCTTGGTGTCATTGTTGGTATGCATCATCCAAAGGAGGCTAGCCTGTTTGGACTTGGTACTTCCTGTGTCAGTCTAGAGGCTTCCTGTTGTGCTTAGCATTGTTCCTGTGCAGGCTGCTTGCTGGTCGTGGTATCTGATATATCCACTTTGGGGGTCTTGTTGGTTCCTCTGATGTGGAGGTTCTCAACTTGCAGTACAGTGGCACAGGCCTTGAGGTGAAGGTATGCTAAGCCACAAGGCCAGCTTTCTGTGAGCACAAGCACACAAGGGTATCTCTGCTGAAGCCTGCAGATGGTTCGTGTTTACATCTGCCACCTTTTCTGACGCAAATTTGCTTTCAAACCTAAGTGAAAAAGCAAAGGCAGAGATGTTTGAGTAATCTGTTTCAAGCTTTGGGATGAAGACCCTTGCATTAGCACCTTTGTCTTTGTCTTTCTTCTCTCCTACCCCAACCTCCTCACATAGTTTATTTTGTGACTTGCGGGTTAATGAGCGTTCTGGCAAAATCCCAGATTCAGGAGTTCTGTGAAGTTAGAAACTCACTGTGTTTGCTTCTGTTTTATCTTTCCAGCTCTTTGGGCTCATCTCATTGTATTATTTCAGCTAAAATAAAATGCTTCAGTTGGCTTGGTGCAGTGGCTCACTCCTATAATTCCAGCACTTTGGGAGGCCGAAATGGGAGGACTGCTTGAACCCGGGAGTTTGAGACCAGCCTGGGCAACATAGTGAGACCCTGTCTCCTAAAAAAAAAATGCCTCCGTTTAAATAATAGTTATTGCAGTATGAGTCCTTTATGTACTCAGCACTATTCTTGTGCCACTTGAATTGAGCCCTGCTGCAATTGTGATTTAATGGAGAGACCATAAGATTTGTGTCAGAAAATACACTGTCTCTGTGACCTTTGGGCAAGTCACTTAATCTCTGAGCAAAGTAGAGATTGTAAAAATAGTGATAGTTACCTTGAACATTGGTTGTGAGGATTAAGTATGACAATGCAAAAGGAAGTTTTTTGCAAATGATAAAGCGCTACACAGATGATTATTCTTGATAGAGGTAGAGATGTGGCTATTCTAGGCCATGGAATAGAATGACATGGAAATAGATTATGCTGAAGCATGAATGTGGGAAATTACAATTCATTACTTCCCAGCCTTGAGAAGAGCCAGGGAACATTTAAGTTGCCCACTTTGACCAGAGTGGAAATGTTAGCTGGGAATAGAGGTGGGGATCAGATTGACCTGGGCCTTGAATACCAGGCCAAGCAGTCAGTGAAAAGCCAGAGGGAGGGGTATTAATTGTAACTTAGCCTAGGAAAATGAATCTAGAGAGGGAGCTGTGTGGTTGGATTAAAAGAGAAAGAGCTTGGAGGTAAGGAATACAAAGGAATGCTGTTGTATCAAGGCATGAAGGAGAGGACAGGAATTTGAACTCAGGTGGGGACTGTGGGCATGGAAAGGAGGGCTGGCCAGAAGAGATCATGTGAAGGAGACAACAGTCTGTCTCTGTGCCCAATTGAATATCGGGTAAGGGAGAAAGGGAACCTTGAAATTCCTTCAAGGCTGTCAGCCAGTTATAACAGAAGTTTGATAACTGAACACGTTTAGTTGGAGATACACTTGTGTTAGTTTGAAGTTTGCATCAAGCAATTGTAAATTCAGAACTAGGTCTCAGGAGAGAGCTCCAGAGTTGCAGATACAAGTGTGGGGGCCAATCCTGTTGAGGTTGAAACCGTGGGCTTCATACCTCTGAGAGAGCGCCAAGGACGGAGAGAAGAAGCTGTGATTGGAGGCTTGGGGAATCCCCTCATCTAAGGAGCTCAGTGGCAGCAAGTTTTTGGAGTCTCCTGACATGACCTGTGTGCATGCATTTCTTCCTCTCTTTAGCTGTACAAAACTCACTTGAATTTGCTTTTGCAGGAATGCTATATGCAAGGTACCTGGATGTTTCTTGTATGGCATTGAAAACTCAAAACGATATTCTGGAAAGAATTTCAAACAAAATAAGGACGAACTGGTTCAGAAAATCTACAGCCTGATTAACAGCTCTGTCTTTGATAAAAAGGTAGACTAAATGAATAAGCAGTGACTGAGCACCTGCTGTGTGCCAGTACTGTTGGGTGCTATGAGGTATGCTAATCATTTGTACTTCCCAGCCTTGAGAAGAGGCAGATGGGGAGATGAGACGTGCAGACACGAAAGAAACAATGTGTATGGGTTATAATGTATAGGACAGACAGTTATTACCACAGGAGATCAGCAGAGGGAGAAATCACTGAGAGCCTGAATAGTCAGGAGATTGGATTACCTGGAGGAAGTGACACTCTGGTTCTTGAAGGATGTTAAGTGGCAAGAACAGCAATAATGGGGGAGAGGGTGTATGTTGAGGCTTGACTGTCAGGAAGAAAGGATTCATGTAGAGGGATAATGGGAAAGAGCTGTGTGACCTGGGGTGAGTTACTTAACCTTAGTTTGACTCATTTTCTTCATCTGTAAAATGGGGACAATAACAGTACTTAACTACCTCATAGAATTATTCTTAGGCCTATCTAAGTTAATACACATAAAGGGCCTAGAACAGGACATAGCTCTTACTGTTTTTTGATAGTGTAGGACCAGATAATGGAGGGTCTTGGGAATCAGGTTGGAGAAGGTTAAATTTATATCAATAGGCACCACTGCACCTGGATGGACATGGAGTGGCTTCTGAAAGAAATTAATCTGACAATAGCCTGGGGATATGGTCTGGATGGAAGAGAATATGGAGGCAGATACTGTTGGTCATTAGGTTTTTTTGTACCTTATTGTCTCTGGTAACAAGGTTTCCTGGAGGGAGGTTCTTATATCTTCCTAAAGGTTCCCCAGCCTTTGGTGCCCTTCCTGATGACAATGGTGTCACATCAGATGGGTGGAAATTGAAGTGTTCTGAGTTGAGTTTTCAATTCTGCCCTGCCACTCTTACAGGTGTCCACCTCACCTGCCTCAGCAGGCTTGTCCTTCTCTCCTTGGCTGCCCTAGACTGTTGTCTCCATGCAAAGGAGTCCCAATCCTGCATTCACATGGTCTGAATGGTCTCCCTTGTGTTCTGATTGCCTGTTAGTTGTCTCTACCTGGACTTCAACTTGGCTTTATTCTCCCCTAGAATGTTCAGATTTGTGTACCCTTTGGATAGTTTTCTTTTTAAACTTGCTCTGAGCCAAGAACCTGGGGGAGAAAGTTCCTTTTACTTTTTATTACAGGGAGGAAAACTCTGTAGAGTTAATATGTTCCGGTCTGCTTAGAACTGCTTTCTGATTCCTTCCATTTGCTTTGTACTCCAGATGCCAGAAAAAATAGATATTGGCTGGAATAAAAAGATGCTGAGAACTGCTGGCGTATGCGCCACTAGCGAGATACGGTACCCAAAAAGGAAGCGCTATGCCAGGATCGAGATTGCTCTGAAAGTCTGCGACTCTGCAGGTGATGGCAGGAGCATGGCAGCTTTACGGCTATGTTCTTCCTTTTGACACCATGCCTGCTGAATTACTTCTAGCTGGCAGCTTGTGTCACAGCTTAAACTATCATTCCTGGGTGGACAGGCCTACAATGTATTGCTTAGAGGACATTATTATTGGATGTCTCACCATCCCTGTGAATCCAACTCATCAATCTTTCTACTAGGCCTGCCTTTCTCATTACATTTCTCCCTTGCCAGCAGCAGCATCTCTATTCTCTCAATAGCTGAGGTTCAGGGTCCCCTGTGTCTAGCCAATCACCAAATCTTCCCTCACAGTGGCTCACTATTCCCTCTCCATCTGTACCTCTGCCCAGGGGCAGACCCTCATCCCCACTCCATTTGGTCTCCTGCATGCCACTGCATTGCTTTCCTGCTGAGAAACCAAGGGTTTCTCAAGGGCTGGAGCCTGGCTTTTGAGGCCATTGTAATCTAACCCAACTCCACTTAGCCAGTCTTTTCTCTCACTACTCCACCGCTACCCCATGCACCAGACAGGCTCTCTTCAAACCAACCTTCAAAATGTACCACAGGCTGGGCATAGTGGCGTGTACCTGTAGTCCCAGCTATTCAGGAGACTGAGGTGGAAGGATTGCTTGAGCCCAGGACTTTGAGACTGTAGTGAACCATTATCGTGCCACTTCACTACAGTCTGCACAACATAGTGAGTCTTGTTTCTAACATTAAAAAAGGGGGGGGGCAGGCGCAATGGCTCACCCCTGTAATCCTAGCACTTTGGAAGGTTGAGGTGAGAGAATTGTTTGACTCCAGGAGTTTGAGACCAGCCGAGACAACACAGCAAGACCCCGTCTCTACAAAAAGTTAGCCAGATGTGTTGACGTGTACCTGTAGTCCTAGCTACTCAGGAGGCTGAGGTAGAAGGATCGCCTGAGTCTAGGAGGTAGAGGCTGCAGTGAGCTGTGACTGAGTGAGACCTCGACTCAAAAAAAAGGGAAAGAAAAAAATTTTTTTTTTTTGGGTTAGAGTCTCACTCGGTCACCCAGGCTGGAGTGCAGTGGCACACTCATGGCCACAGCAGCTTCAACCTGCTAGGCAGGTGATCCTTCCGCCTCAGCCTTCTCTGTAGCTCGAACCACAGGCATGTGCTACCATGCCTGGCTAATTTTTTGATTTATTGTAGAGATGAGGTCTCACCATGTGGCTCAGGCTAGTCTTGAACCCCTAAGTTCAGGCAATCCTCTCATCTCTGCCTCCCAATTGCTGGGATTATAGGGGTGAGACAATTTTTCTTTTTTCTTTTTTTTTCTTCTGACTTGGAGTCTCACTCTTTGTCGCTCAGGCTGGAGTGTAGTGGCATGCTCACGGCCACCATAGCCTCACCTGCTGGGCTCAGGCGATCCTTCTGTCTCAGCCTTCTAAGTAGCTGGAACAACAGACACACACCGCCACACCTAGTTTTTGTGATTTATTGTAGAGACAAGGTCTTACCAAGTTGCCTAGGCTGGTCTCAAACCCCCAGGCTCAGGCAATCCTCTCATCTTGACTTTCCAAAGTGCTAGGATTACAGTCTGAGCCACCGCGCCCGGCTGAAAAATTTTTTTAAAGTACCACATGCCTACATAGTTCATCAAGCCTAGAATGGCCTTTCTAACTTTGCAAATCCACTCAATTGGCAAGGACTCCCTCCAATCCCAGTTTCTCCATGGTGCTTCTCTTGACCTAATCCCATGGCTATAGTGACTGCTCCCCACCCTGTCTACCTTTATTCCTGGAAGACAAAAACTAGGTCTTGTCTGGATGTCTTTCTAGCAGCACCCCAAAAAGATTAGCATGCTGGAGCTGCTCTGTAAAGACCTGCTCACTGAAGGCTCTCTGCTATTCACAAAATCAGGTTGTAGTAGGTGGAAATTTCACTTTGAGAATTCTGGGAAGGTAACACTCAAACCTGCCCGTATGTGCTTTTGGAAAATGGCTTTGTGTCTGGTGGGACTGAAAGTCTAGGGGTTGTTAGGTAGCAGAGTAGAAGAGGATTGGTTTTAGTGCTCATAATTTCCTTTTATTTCTCTGTCAAGACCGACTGCGGGATACCTTGATCCATGAAGTGTGCCATGCAGCCTCCTGGCTGCTCGATGGTATCCGTGATTCTCATGGTGATGCATGGAAGTATTATGCCCGAAAATCCAACATGGTACACCCAGAGCTTCCCCTGGTCACCCGTTGCCATAACTATTCACTTAACTACAAGATTCTTTATGAATGTACTCAGTGCAAAGCCAGGTAAGACCCTTCTCAGACTGCCCAATTATGACTTAATAAGGCCTCTAAGCGGCTCTTCAGCGATTTTATTAGTAGACGACTGTCTGACTTGAAGAGTGAAAATTCTCTACTCCTTTCCATGCTCTTTCTCCATTCTCTCCTCTAATTTGAGCTGGCCTGACCACGGCTGCTGCTTGGTGCCCCACTGTCTGAGAACCCGGAGAAAATTCTTGCTCTGGGCCCAAGGCCAACATCTCAGAGCTGATGCTGAGGTACAGCGACTGATTCCTTTGTTGTGTGATGTCTCTTTCCTCACTAGGATTGGCCGCTACACCAAATCATTGGACACCACCCGCTTTATCTGTGCCAGATGCATGGGGTCTCTGGTCATGCTGCCGTCAACTCGGAAAGATGGGACCCCTATTGTGCCCCATGTGAGACCATTTGCCAAATATGTGCAGCAGAATTATAGAAAAGTTATGCGTCAGATAGCCACAGTTGACCATGGGGATGTGATGAGAAAGCTCAGTGAGAATTATAAACAAGAAAAGGGTTCTTAAGGTTATCTGAGAGTGTAGGTATGTGAGCCGAGTTCTTCACTAGTAAGTTAGAAAAATCTGTTTCTGTAGTTAAGAATATTAGAATTTAGTACATTTTTAAAAGATTCACGCTATTTTTTTTTTGAGTTGGAGTCTCACTCTGTCGCCCAGACTGGAGTGCAGTGGCCGCTCTCGGCCACCGCAGCCTCGACCTGCTGGGCTCCGGCGATCCTTCTGCCTCAGCCTTCCAAGTAGCCGGAGTTACAGGCATGCGCTGCCAAGCCCGGCTGATTTTTTAATTTATTTTAGAGATGAGGTCTCGCTGCCCAGGCGAGTCTCGAACCCGCAGGCTCAGGCGATCCACTCACCTCAGCCTCCCAAGGCATGGGATTACAGGCTGAGCCACCGAGCCTGGTTAAGATTCACGCTATTAATGATGATTGCTCTTAACAGGGGTTCTATTGCTAACCGTTTTGTGCCCTTGACAGTATTCTGAAGCCCTTTGGATCACCTTGGGCCTTACTTTGACTCCATAGCTTTAAATACAGAACAAAATAAAAAAGAAAAATTAGTTCTTAAGAGTTGTGGGTTGAGAGAATGAGAACAAATGGCAGAAAGAGGACAGGTTTTAAAGGCAGTACTTTAAAACCAGGGCTGTTGGCAGATGTTATCTGTTACTCCTACCTACAGAAAAGACAAATGTATCATGAAGTGAGTTGTTGATGACATTGAGTGAAGCCGTCTAAGCCATGTAATTGTTCATAAAATAAAATAAAATGTTTTCTGCATCGTCCTTGTTATCAAAGTATGTTCATTGACTCCCTGTGCCTAGAGAACAAACCCTGAGGTTTTTTGTCCAAGACTCTGGACATCTGAAGCCCTCCAGGAAGTGTCTAGAGTAGCACTCTCCATTCCGTTTTTCTGTTTTCTGTGACTGCCCAAGAGTACTTCAGCCTCCCTGCTTTTAGGAGAGAGCCAGGATGTGGATTGGAATCCACATTGTGTTCAATTTCTATGGCTGCCACAACAAATTGCCACAAACATAGTGGCTTAAAACAATACAAATGTTTATCTCACAATTTAGGAGGTCAGAAATTCATCACGGGTCTCACGGGACTAAAATCAAGGTATCAACAGGGCTGCATTCCTTTCTGGAGACTCTAGGGGAGAATCTGTTTCCTTGAGTTTTTCAGCTTCTAGAGGTCACGGACCCACATTCCTTGATTTGTGGCCTGTCCACCATCTTCAAAGCCAGCGACCTCTCTCTATCTCTGACTCTCTCTTCTCTTCTGCTGTGCTCTTTCACTTTATTTCATTTTATTTGCAAGAGGGTCTCTCTTACCCAGGCTGGAGTGCAGTGGCACACTCATGGCTCACTTCAGCCTTGACCTCCTGGACTCAGGCGATCCTTCTGCCTCAGCCTCTCAAGTAGCTGGGACTACAAGTGCATGTCACCATGCTAGGCTAAATTTTAAAAATTTTTTGTAGAGACGAGGTCTTGCTATATTGCCCAGGCTAGTCTCGAACTCCTGGGCTCAAGCAGTCCTCCCACCTTGGCCTCCCAAAGTGCTGGGATTATAGACATGGGCTACTGTACCTTTCACTTTTAAAGGACCCTTGTGATTACATTGGGTCCGCCTAGATAATCCAGGAGACTTTTTTCTTGTCACTGACTTGAAGTTCATAGGAGACTCTTCTTAAAGTCAGCTGATTATCAACCATTATTCCCTTTTGCCATCAAAGGTAATATAATCACATAATTTTGGGGATTAAAGCGTGGATGTCTTGGGGGCCCATTTTCTGAACTGCCACAGGCTTCTTTAATAGTCTAGCATCACCTACTTTTTATAGATAGGATGTGTTATTCTGTCATTTCCTTTCCTTCATTTTGCAAAAGCTTGGAGTGTTCTTTTAGTGGCCACAAACTCTTAACCACAAGACTAGATAGGATCGGGTGCATTCATGGGGCGGGATGAACACTCCCAGCTAACTCCTCAGACTCTTCCTCCCCATTCCCACCTCCAACCATAGCTGCAATTTCAGCAAGGGCCCAGCTGGCATGTGAAACTGGGTTCTGGCATATCAATGACTTTACTAGAGGGAACTGGCAATGAGGTAGTGCCACCCCTTCACCTTCTGCTTTCATTTAGTAGTCCTTATCACTTTCCCTTCTGGGAAGCCTTAGTTATTTCCTCCACTCACATCAATCCCATCAATAGTCCTAGAAAAATGCTCCCCACAGTCCTCCAGGTGGCTGTGTGCTAGTGACTGTTGGCACGTCGTCCAGCCTTGCTGCTTTTCTTCAAGCCCACTGCTTTTCTTCAAGCCCACCCTAGTAAGGGCCTGCATTGCCTCTTACCTGAATAACCAGTAGAGCCTTCTGACTGGTCTCTCTGATGCCATCACCTCATCCCAAACTATCTTTCAGTCTTATTTTGAACCCTTTCCTCATCCACATCCACTCTCACAACGTGAACCCTTAACTAACCAGTTGGGATCACTTACAATCCCTTTAGTAAGCATTCAGTCTTCCTACCTTTGCAACCGCCTTCCTTTTTGCCTGGAAGTACTACTTGCCCTTTAAGTCTTCAGGAAGCATTCCCAAGTGGCTCCAGCCTTCAGTGCTCTGGGCCCTGGGTTCACTGTCTGTGTGCCACCTTTGCCTCATGGCCTAGACTGCTTGATAGTGCTAGTTCCCACCACATCTTTCCTGCCGTCCTGAGCTTCTGGTGTACAGAGACTGACTGGGGAATGTGCCCTTACCCAAATTAAGCCAACCAGCTGCCTAACTGTTCACTGTGCACCCATGTACATGGGTGTTTCCCTATGAATAAAACAGGAGGGCCCAGGAGGGCAGAGAGATAAAAAGGCAGCATGGGCTGGCACCGACTCAAGGCCAGGAAGGGAGAAGCAGGAAGTGCATCTCTGGAGCCCAGGTGGGCTGGCTGTAATGATGCACTACTAACACACCCTGGTCCTGATTTTGTTTATTGAAAGGTTTAAAGCAGGATCTTAGACATGAAAATAAAAGTGAACAAATACAGAAGTCTTGGGAACCACAACCACAGTCGCTGCTGAGCTGGAGGCCCAGGCTGGGCAGTTTCCTCTACACTGTGCCTCGTACTCCCTGCACACAGGGAAGGTCAAATTCTAGTTTCCAAATGAGATGGGCAGTGGGGCTCCAGGCTGCCATCTCTGGAGCGCTAAGGAGCAGCAATGGTGCAGCTCTTAGAGCTGGGAGGATGACTTCCCAGGATGGGGCTGCTGGTGAATCCCAGGAGCGAGGCTGTGGGGGGAACCAGAGCCGGCCCAACAGAGGGAGAGAGGAGCCTGGAATATGGGGGAGTTGGGCTGTGTGGGCGAAAGGGGAGCACCCATTCCAACCTCACAAGCCTGAGTAGGAGGCCTCTGTGGTCTCAGACCAGGATGAATCCCGGCGGGAAGATGACGGCTGCCGCTGGAGCCCTCTCTGGTCAGGGCAGCCCAGGCGTGTGAGCAGCATCCACATCCGCTCTCGGAACTTGACGCCCACGCAGGCATAGAGCAGCGGGTTGAGGCAGCAGTGCATGTAGCCCAGGCCCGAAGTGACTGACTTGGCCACATCCACCCGACTTTCTTGGCCACAGTTTCGGGCCAAGGCCCCCTGGTCCATGAGGGTGTCCACCAGCACCACCAGGTGGTAGGGGGTCCAGCAGAGGGCAAAGGCCACCACTACCACTACCACTAGCCGCATGGCTCGCAGGCGCCGCTGGCCCCTGGAGACCAGCAGCACAGCCAGAATGCGGGCATAGCAGTAGGCCATGACCAGCAGGGGCAGCAGGAAACCAGCTACCAGCTGCAGTACCCGCAGAGCCGTCCGGCCCATCTGCGGGAAGTTGTACTGGCAGTGGGTGGCATTGAGGCGCTCATCGTGGCGGGCTGACAGGAAGATGAAGTCTGGGAGGGCAAGGAGCAGACAAAGCCCCCAGACAGCTACACAGGTGAGGGCCACACGGGTCTGGGGTCCCCTGCGGTAGAGCTGGGTGGCGTGCACTATATTCAGGTAGCGGTCAAAGCTGATGCAGGCCAGCAGGAGGGCCCCTGCATAGAAGTTAATGTTGAAGAGAGCACCTGCCACTTTGCAGAGGCCAGAGCCGAAGACCCACTGGATGGCAGCATCCACTGCCCAGAGTGGAAGTGTCAGCACCAGCAGTGCATCAGCCACGGCCAGGTGGAGCAGGAAGGTGTCGGTGCTGCTCAGGGCTGCCCGGTGGCTTAGCAGCACAGCTGCCACGGCACCATTGCCCAGCAGCCCCAAAAGAAAGATGAGGCTGTAGAGGGCTGGCAGAAAGGCCCGGTCAAAATTCAGGCTGAAGTCCTGTGGGCAGGGTGGAGAGGCACAGCAGGAGTCATTCTCATTTTCTTCGTAGTCATAGGAGGAGCTGAAGTTCTCCAGGAGGGCGGCAACCTCAGAGTTTTCTAGCACTTGGTGGTTGCTTACCTGCCGAGGGACAGGGGAGGGGAGGGAGGGGCTGTGGAAAGGCCTGGCAAGAACCCCTCCGTGACTTAGTCTGATGAATGTTTCTCTGAGCAACTGCCCCTCAAGGCAGGCCTGAGGCCTGGACCAGACCCTATAACTGTCCCCACCTTTTTCCCAGGGCTGTCCCTCCTGAGCTCCCTCTTCTCAGCCTGGGCTCTGGGATGGTGACTTCCCTTCTTCAAGGCTGCTTCTCTGTTACTCTTCTGTGCGACCCCATTGGCCCAAGGACCCTGGGAAGGAAGAAGAGCTTCCTTGCCTACTCTCCTCTCTCCCTGCTCTCCCTTCGTGGTTTACCTTGTGTCCTTAGTGCCCCACCACAACTAGTTCAACCACCTTACTTCCAGGTGCCTCCCCTGGCACCTCCCCACTACAGCCTCTCCCAGTCACTGGCCCTCCTGTTCCCTCCTCAGCCCTTGTCCAGGGACCTCAGTTTCCTGTCCCCTTCCATGTAGGGCCTCTCTACAAATCACTGCATCTCCCCCAAACGCATGCTTTTGGCCCCGTCCTTTCCCTCCCCTCCACCAAGGCTTGCAAGCCCATTTAGCTGCCCACTGGGGGATCCCCCACCACGCTCTAGCAGGAATCTTCTTTACCCCCTCATCCCCAGCCCCAACAACCCCAGACCTGCAGGCCTCCCTGTGCCAATTCAATCCAACACGCAAGAGTCAAAGTTCCAAGTCAGCTGAAGGAAGCCTTAGAGGTCATCAGGGTTGAATTTCTACCCCTGGCATTTTGCAGACAAGGTACAAAAGCCACAGAAGGGAGGAGAGTAGCCCCTGGTCAGTAGCCAAGTTGAGTTCCTGATTCTCCATCTGGTGCTCCTTCCACCACAACCCCAGCAGCCTATACCTACTCACCCAACCCCCTGGTGATCCCGGGCTGTGGGCCAGCCCTGGCATTTCCCTAGTGCCCTGGGTCCTCCACTCTGACCAGTGGCCTAGCCTGACTGGGCAGCTGCACTTACCTCTGGGACCATGGCTGGGCTGCTCCTCTGGCTGCTGGGCTGTGTGCTGCCTGCCCCTCTGCTTTGGTGCTTGTGGTTGGAAACCTGTACTGCACAGAGGAAGTGAGGGTTTCACGCGGTTCTCAGCAGCAGCCTCTTCCATGGGATTATCTACGCCAGACCTCCCTAGACCCCGGGCTTCTATCCCAGCCAGACCTCCCTAGACCCCGAGTTCCTATCCCAGCCATTCCCATGGCCAGGCGAAGTGGCTCCCAGCCTGAAACCAGAAAGGCTGGGCCTAGGGAGGGGGAGGGAGTGACTGAATGGGAGAAGGTCCTTTAAGGGAGGGGTCTGAAGAAGCAACACTGTTGTGAAATGAAGGGCAGCCCTGCCCCCTGCACTGGTAGGGTCAGTACTCAATAGAGTGGAGCTCATCTGTCCTAGCCTGGAGTTGATTTTTGCGTGATTGGAAAGACCGGCTTGAGAAATACTTTCTAAGTCTGTAAAGGAAATTTGTAAAAACTTCAGCCTAGCAAGGTGGTGTGCACCTGTATTTCCAACTACTCAGGAGGCTGAGGCAGATAGCTTGAGCTCAGGAATTTGAGGCTGCAGTGAGCTATGAGTATGCCACTGCCCTCCAGCCTGGGCGACAGAGTGAGTCTCTTCTCTTAAAAAAAAAAGAAACCTCAAGTATTAAAAAACAAAATCGGCTGGGCTCGGTGGCACAGCCTGTAATTCCACCACTTTGGGAGGCCGAGGTGAGTGGATTGCCTGAGCCCATGGGTTCGAGACCTGCCCGGGCAACTTGGCGAGATCTCGTCTCTACAATAAATCAAAAACTGGCTGGGCATGGTAGCGTGTGCCTGTAGTTCCAGCTACTTGGAAGGCTGAGGTGGAAGGATCGCTGGAGCCCAGCAGGTCGAGGCTGTGGTGGCCAGGAGCGTGCCACTGCACTCCAGTCTGGGTGACAGAGTGAGACTCCAACTCCAAAATAATAATAACAAAATAATAACAAAATAATAAAAAACCAAAATCTGTCACACTGAATCTAGTTCTTTACCTTTGCCCCTCCCTGCTAATCAATGGGAGAAAGGAAAGGGAACTGCTAGTAATGAAGTTGCTGTGTGCCAAACGTTGCTTTTGGTGCTTTTTTGCCTCATTCCAACCACACAACTCCCTTGTGAGGCGGGGGTTGTCCACAGGGATGATTCAGACACAGTAAGTTAAGTGTGGGCATGAGGGTTGCACCCACAGCTATCTGACTCGCCTTTTCCCACTCATCACACTGCCTTCGGTTTCTTTTAAATGGCTAAGCTATGATATATGCATGCAGTTAAAAGCAAATGAACCAACGTTCCATATTTTAACATGGACGCATCTAGAAAAGTCAATGACCACGTGGTGGAAGAGGCATGCTGCAGAATATTGTGTATAGTTTGATACCACTTATGTAAATTCGAAAAACCACCACAATAAACAATACCATATTGTTTTGGATACAACTGATTGTTCTCAAAGTTTAAAACAAGGACTGGAGACACCGCAAATTCATGAGAGCAGTTGCTTCTGTAGCGAGAAGAAGGGGGTTGGGGCTAGGGAGGAATACACAAGGACCTCCTGATTTCAAGGACAAGCTGCTCAGCCAGCCTTGGTACAGCCACTTTATGGCAGAGAGGTGTGGGATAGCTCCTTTTCCCACCTGCGCTCAGCTCTCCCCTCTGCCCTCTTCTCATTATCAGTGGACCAGACTTTCCCTACTTGCCTCTCCTAAGCAGTTTCCTCTTTTCCTCTCTCCCCTCAGTGGAAAAGCAGAGAGAGAGAGAGGCAGAGGCAAATGCTAGCCTGTGGCCTTGGGCTCCAGTTTTCAGCCAGATTGCTCCCCGAAAGCTTCTAGGCTCCTGCTCAAATGTATTGGTGAGATGCGTACCCAGGAGGAATCCAGGCTCTTGTCTGCCTTCTGTGAACAGAATGTGACTCTCTTTGCTCTGAAACAGCTTGACACTGCAGGGCTCAGGTCACAGGGATCTGAGGGCTTGGAGGAGGTCAAGAGCAGTGCAAGTGAGGAGACCCAGGAGGATTCCAGAAACCAGGTCAGTTAGGTTAAGTAGGATTTGACAAGTGACTACTTATGGGGGCGGGAAAGGGATAGGAGCTGGGACCATGGTTTCCAAGTGCTGGGCTGGGGAGAGGTTTGAGTTCCCTGGCTTTCTGTAAACGAGAAAAATGATCACAAAAAATTCTGTTTGGGGTAATCCTTCGGGTCCCCTCCCATTGTGAGAGATTCTCTATCCTCTTAATAAATCCTGCTTTCTAAAAAAAAAAAAAAAGCTCTATTTAATTTAAAGGATTGTCTTATATTTGGCAGTTATATTTTCCATGCCCTTTTTGGCATTAAAAGGACCTTTTCTTTCCGAAATGATGGGGAAAATGGTAGTTTAGGAAATATCTTGTGTTGGCAGAAGTTGACAACCCAATATGGGTCCTCCAAATAGATGCTGAAATGTTACTGGTCCATATGCAAGATAGAAGTCTTAGGGATCCTTGGTGTCCTTCCTATGCCACAGTCTCACTTGTCACATAGAGATGATCTCCACCTTCCCATGTTGCTGGTCTGGGCAAGAGCTTTGGAAAGGTGCAAAGAGATTTTCTTTCTGGGCTCTGACATCCTGGTATCAGGGCCATGCCCTGCTAGGCCAGGCTGAGCTATGGGGATGGGCTGTATTCGCTACTCCCAGCAAACCCGCTAAGCAGTGGGAAGAATGCGGAAATTGCCTGGGCTCCAGCCCTGACTCCACTCTATCCAAGCTGTGTGATCTAGGACAAATTATATTACCATGTTGAGTCAGTATCCTCAGCTGGGTTGTTACAAGATGAACTGAGATAACCAAGGCTGTAGCCCTAGCACAGGACCCAGCACTGACTAGGAATGCAGCTGAGAATGTTGAGTGAGAGGGATATTAGCTACAAACCTAGAGCCACTGGGACCCTTGCATGTCAGGGGAGCCACTGATAGAGAGTGGTGCTTGTGGGGCATGCAGGTGTGAACTTGGCCAGAGGCCTTATTTTCCAGAAAGTCTACCCCTTGTCTTACAAAGAGGAGTCACCAGTCTTAGCTGAAAACTGACTTCCCAGCTATATAATTCCAGGCAAACCATTTCATCTCTTCTGCCTCAGTTTCCTCATCTGAAAATGGGTCTAAGGATAGTACACAGTTGATAGGACTGCTCTGTGGACTGCAAACAAAATGCATAGAAGGTGTCTGGGGCAGGATAGGTGCCCAGTGGGCAACAGCCTTCCTCTACTCTAGTAACTTTCTAAACCAACCCGTCTCAAGCTTCAGAATGGCAAGTCTGTGGTGGGCTTCTACCATTGTATACAGCTAAGATACCGTGGAAATTTCCTGTGTCATGGGGCCAAGCCAAGCCCTTGACCAGCTCTCTAGTTTGGTTCTTTCTGGTCCCAAGCAGCTCACAGACCAGGTCAGAGCCAGGTCTAGCCTTTGGGGAGAGTCACCCAGCCCAGGGCCTGCAGTCTGAGTTCTGTGCCTGTGCTCTCCTGCCTCTGTCCTCCAGGGTAGCCAGTGGGGAAGCCTGAGGAGGAAGTTAGTCAGAGTGAAGCTGTTCCTAGCCCCACCTGTGGTCAAGGTGTGAAATGTGCACCTGGCTCTTCTCTGCCACCCCTCCCCCTGTTTTTTTCTTTCTTTCACACCTCTGGGCTGTGGTTTGAGGAGATGGGAGGCTCAAAGGTCTGAGCCCCGGCCCAGTCCTTCACAGGAAGGAGGGCCTCAATAACTGTCTGTGGGCCAGCCAAATGGGGGAAAGGGCCATTTCCTTCTCCTCCCCCTCAGTCTCAGCTGCCAAGAACCTCTCTTGTAGCTCTTCAAAATGCTCCTTAGATCCCTGCTCCAGAAGATCCTGGACTCGGCCACCAGCCACAGGCTGTCAGGTCTGAACTTGCTGTGTGGCCCAGGCTGGGGCCAAGCTTTTCTCAAAAGAAATCAAGAACGGTCCTAAGCTGGGCACAGTGGTGCACAGCTGTGATCCCAGCTTCTCAGGAAGTTGAATTCAGCCTGGACAATGCAGTGAGACCCTGTTTCTAAAAAGCAAGCAAGCAAACAAACAAATAAAAGCTCCCAAAGAGTTCTAGCCCTGGGCAGGGGCATCCATGTGTCCCAGACAGTATTGGTACTCTGAACTTCCTTATTCTGACTCTGAATTTCCCTTGAAAGGAAGCTTAAGTCACTGGGAGGTGGGGCCTGCCTCTTCCTCTGCCTTTGTACGGCCACTCTGAGCCCTACCAGGAGGCAAGCCCTTTCTAAGTGCCGGACATGGGCCTTGGGAGTCCAGGGGGTGGGGCAGACAGTCCTGGCCCATGAGGGTAAGTTCCCAGAGATGTGGGGACAATCACTCTTTTTGGGACTGGGGAAGGCCTCACAGAGATGAAGTTTGAGCTGGGTCTTAGAGGATGTTGCTGCTGCTTGTCAGGTGGCAAATGGTGGTATGGCAATTCAGGCCAGGGGAATGCCAGGTGCCGAGACAAGGAAGTAAGGAAGAGCCTGAGGCACAGTTTGGTTGGAACAGAAGGTTCTTGTGAGAGCAGGAGGGTAGAGGGAACTGGAAAACAGTTCAGGCCCCAAGCCCCACCACCAAGCCCAGAGACTTTACTGTCATTCTGTCCCTGGCAGTGCCTGGGAACTGCTAAATAAAACAGCTTCATTCTGCAAGCCTTTACTTTCACATATATGATCTCTTTAAAACCTTTCAGCCACCCAGCAAAGCAGAGATTACTATGCCCATTTTGCAGAATGAGATGGAGGTTCAGAGAGGTGAAGTGACTTGTCCAAGAGGACTTGTGACAGGATTCCTGTTCAGGCTGCTCTCTCATGTGCTATACTGCCAGCCCGCCATACAGGCTGCTGCCCGAGGACTGACGGTTCAGGTGCCACACCTTCCTCAC